AAATTTAATATATAGCTATTAAGAACATCTAAAGTATTTCACAAAATGAAAATATTATAAATAAAAAAAATTCAACTACAAAATAGTACTTCCATTAATGTTGTATCCATATACATACATGTGATCAAAAAGAAAAAAAAAATTCAATTGTATATGCATATACATATGGTCAAAAAGCAAAAACTTCCATTGCAGGCCTTCAAACTTCTTTTAGATAGGCCCCATTGTTTAAGAAACCTGTCCCTGTAATTAGAAAAAACACAATCACTTTCTAATTCAAATAATAGAAGAGGTGATATAGATCACATAGGAAAAGATAACTGTCTTATTTGCATATTTCATTCTCCTAGAATTTCCAGCAACATTGAAAGACAGGTTTCCTAACTCTAATGCATCTAATGAAAAAATTGAACAACCTCAAGTAAAGCCTCTCTATCCTCCCAAAAAAGATCAGATTGCTGACCTATTCCTTATATATTAGTACAGACTTATGTTGATCGTCTTAGATATAATCAGGCTAAGAGTGATGTCCCTATATCCCTGACTATTGCTTTTACTGTAAACATCAAGGTCATTTAGATCATGATTGTACGATAAAACAAAGAGATGAAGACCATAAAAAATAAAGGAAATAGAAAATGGAAAAGCCAAAAACAAAAAAGAATTTGATACCATTCCTCAACAGTCACAGGTACAGAAAGAACCAGGTCAATAGGAGGCCAATAAAAATAGATAGCAAAAGGACCTGGACACAAGAGGAAAGCAGCAGGGGGATCACTGGCAAACACAAAGAAAAAAGAACACTAACTAGCAACAAGCACCAAAGAGTCTCACCAAGCAAGCTGATCAACAACATACTTCACAAGCACGTATAATCTCTATTCCTACACACAATCCATATACTGATCTAGATGTGCAGGAACACACATAAAGTGTGCAGGAACTAACCAAGGGCAAGGGAAACACAAATGCTAGCAGCACTCAAGCTGTCACAAAAATGAGTCTGCAGCAACAGGAACAAGGAGAAAAGCAAATGAATATGGCAAAGAAATCTGGAAAGGAGATTACTGTAACTCCACCACAGGTTGATCCTCAAGTTCCAGTAAATAAAAAAGGCAATCAAACAAAGGTAGTGCATAAACAATAGTTCACTGCTTGCAACAGTTGGAATCAATCCACGATTCTCAAAATAACAGGACAACAAGTAAATTTGGTTCAACTACGACACAGTATGAAAAACAACTAGCATGTAACAAGGCATTAGCAAACAAAGAAAACATTCCTGTATTTTCAAACTTCCACCAGAAGGTTAACTCGTATTTCTCTTTGTATACGTTATTCACAATCAGATTTAAAGAAACAAGCCAATAACTATAATAAGTAAGAAATAAGAACTGTCAAAGAAATAAAAAGAATTGTTAAGACGAAAAAGATAAAGTACCTGTTGAATCCTAGTCATGATAGCGGCCATTTGTTCTTGGAACATTTTGTCAACTTCACCTATCATGTGTTCACGCTCCTCTTCTAAATTTTTTTGCAGATCTTCTTCCATACTCCTTTTTAAATCTGCCACCATGTGTTAACCTTCTTCTTTTAGCTTTCGTTCCATATCAACTTGCATCTCTTGATGCATACTTTCTATTGCTGAAGACACATTAGCCTCTATGTCTGCCTGTTGTATTTGAGCTTTTTTAGGTAGGCTTTTCCCATATCCTTTTCCGCGAACATAGCCTGATCTCTCACCGAGAATTGAGGATAAAATCTTATCCCTAGTCATGGGATTTTCGATCTCTTCTGATTGTTGTTCAACAACAAGTTGTTCGAGATGGCTCTATAATAATATGTACCAGTTACATCAAAATATAATGGACATATTGAAACTAACATGTAGTAAGTCAGTAAGATATTAAGGAAATGATTTTAGAAAATTACATGAATCTGTTGGGATTGTGGATCCAACCATACACGTTATCCGCTAGCACTTTTACGGGTGTTGGATCTCCCAGACTTTATCTGGTGAGTTTTTTTCTCCCGATAGTGAATCTCTCTGCAATATAATTCAATAAGGAAAATACACAAGAACACGTATATGTAGTAATAGGAGAAAAATATTTTTTCACCGTAGATTCCTCTACTTCTGCAAATGATCTTGTACCACAAGAATGCTTAGTTATTTATTTTTCTCTATTGTTTTTGTTTCTTTCACTGATAACCTGCAATAGATCAGAATATATTTATTTAAAGAGAAAACTAGCATTCGACCACACTAGGTATTTTCTAAATTCAATAACTCTTGTTATTAATTAAATTACCTTGAATTTCTCACTGCCAAAATACTTAACTAGGTATTCCAGTCCTCCAAACTCAACATCCTCAGGACGATTAGACAAATCTGTCTTCATCCGTATTATAGGCACAATAGTGATTATGTAATCGAGCTTTCCAAGCTCTAAAGAGTCTTTGCATAGTGCTTATCACAAAGCCTTGTAACTTATGTGCTCGTGGCCCACCAGAAACTTCAAATTTGTCCTGAACAAAATGTAACATTAAATTTGATAATTCAAGTAATATAAAAGAAATACAACTTTGAAAGTGATTTATTACCTTGACCTTATACCACATTGCTTCTCCATGTTTTGAAACAATATTCTGCCAATTTCCATCTTGAAATAAGATACTCATGATCAAGCCTGCATAATTAACAATATCTCTAGCCCCTGAACCCACATCTCTATCAATATCATCTAGAATGATTGCTTTGATTTTTCCTCCATACTTAGTTTTAATATCAACAGTATTAGATTTATATTTCCCTCTTCCTCTCTTTCTATTGATGCGAGAAACTGCAAAGAAGAAATTATTAGTAAAAGAAACGTATTAGTGAATATTCATTCTACTGCTTCATAATGTATACTAGTTTTCATAGTTACTTCACCAGTATAAACCAGTGACCCCAAATTGTTGTCATAAAGGGTTTTGAGTCTTTTGAATTTTTTTTACAAAGTTAACACAACAAACAACACTCAATCATTATATAGATAAGAACATTTAACAAACTCTATTTTCTGCTAGAGATTCATGTTGTAACATGGTTACACTCGTAAACAAGAATGAAGCAATAACTAGCTCTACATTCCCGGTCAAAATTGATATACACTCGTATTACTACACCTAATATACTTGCAAAAAGAATAAGTATCACAGGAGAACCAAAATCAACATCATGCAGTCAACTGTGTTGAACCAACTGCACTCATCATGTGCTGAAGTTGCTTGATACTAAGCAATTGAGTCTATCTACTAGGGAGGTACGTGAACTAACCTGCAACAATTTCAACCTCTAGGGAGGGACGCATACTTTCTTCTAAATTTCTTGATGATTGTGTCCCTGGAGATGTTCTTTGGAGAGGATCACTTGATATTTGTTCCGCCTGTAGACGTCCTTGACTTGGGGTTAGGTGTCTGTCCTGTCTCCAATGATACTTTAGCAACTCTTATTTGTTGTATTGGTGGCTGAGATGTAGTACCAAAACATTCACGTTCTCAAAAATTTCCACGTCCACCTCTTGCACCATCTCTTCCACTATTACCGTTACCTCGATCAGTTCCTTTCATTTCCTGGAACATTAGATATAAAAAGAGAAGTATCAAAATCAGAAATTAAACTTATTATATCTACCTGCCAAGGAAAATATCGATTCATAAAGCAGAGTATTATATTAAACAAATAAAAAATGTGGGACACTTTACTAACAAGTACTATTGTTTCATTGATGGAAATGTAAATCATTGATTCTACTTAAAACGCTAATTCTATTTACAAAGTTAAAGCTACAAATGTCATGAATTAATTTCATGTTAGCCCAATAAGAAAAAATATAGAGAACTTATCAAACAAGAGTTAAACATCTATTTCAGTAGTCTTTGTTTCTCAATCATCAAAAGTATTCATCACTGTCTTCTCCATCATCATCATCTAGTAACTCTTCTTCGGTTTCTTCACTCCCAAATATATCTGTATGATTGTCATTAATGAAATTATCTTCCTCATTTTCTTGATCATTGGTACGCAAAACAGTTTGTGGTTGAACATCATCCCTGTATAAAGACACATGAATATCAGGTTCATGGTCATTGGGACACAAAATATTACATTTCACTTCCTCTTGTTGATAACCTTCTTCATTCATTACTGCTTCTTCAACTTCAGGCATATTAAAAAGATCTTGAGGATTTGTCTTTACAACAACGAGCCAATCTTTGTCAACCATGTCTTTCAAATAGAAGACTTGTTCAGACTGAGATGCCAACACAAATAGCTCATTTGTATTTAAGGCACAATGAGTATTCACACTTGTAAAACCATATTTGTCAATATTACATCCTCTTCCTAGGCGAGCCACATCCCACCAGTGACACTTGAATAGATGAACTTTTCTATTTCCAACGTAGCATAACTCGTAAATGTCCTCTAATACACCATAATACTCCTTATTAGAGTCTGAATCATCTCCTCTCACAAGAACTCCACTGTTCTATGTTTTTCTCACAAGCTCTTTTGTTTGTAACCTAAATCCCTTCACCATAAATATTGAATATCGATGCACCAATGGTTCTGGACCTACAACTAAGCTTATGAGCTCATCAGTTGTGTGTCCTTGTGAACTAGTACAAATATCTACAAAAAAATAAGACTTGTTCATACTTAGATGTCAACAGTAATAGTTAATTAAGTGTTGTTCATAAATTCTTACAGGTGCACGAAACCAATTAATAAAATCATTATTCAGCATTCCATGAGGTCTCGTTGAACCTTGTATTTCAATCTCTCTCATGTATTCCCTACATTTTGTGTTAGTTAAGGTTAATTAAAATACCTTGATGTGAAATTAAATCTGAATTAATAAGAACCTTACTCTATGAAAGGTGAAACCTCTTCACAATTTTGAAGAATATACAAAACTGCTTGGTTGAATTTATCATGGGGTAGTTTCTTTCCATCAAAAGACCCCTTTGTTTCGAATATACAAAACTGCTTGGTTGAATTCATCATGGGGTAGTTTCTTTCCATTAGAAGACCCCTTTGTTTGCCCACTTTTTTTAAAGATAGACATCTCACCGTTTGATTCAAATCCATCATCATTTCTTGCTGGTTTATTAAACTTAGTTGAGATACTCTTAAAATAGTGTGAGAAAAATGTAATGCCTTCATTTGCGTCATGACCTTCAGCAATTGCACCTTCTGGAAGACCAGGATTGCGAATATATGATTTAAGTGTTCGCGAATACCTATAAATAGATTTCCAATTTATAAAATATGACATTTAAAACATATTGTCATCGAAATTACAGAATGATATGTTACCTCTCAATAGAGTACATATCCCAATATTGAACTGGTCCACCAAGTTTTGCCTCTCTGGCCAAGTGTATCGGCAAAGGAATCATGACATCAAAAAATGCCAAAGGAAAAACTATTTAAAGTTTACACAATATGATTAGAATTTCAGCCTCAAGGATATCAAGATCTTCAATTGTCAAGAACTTAGAAAATAGATTCTTGAAAAATTTGCCTAAGGTAATAATTGGTTCACACACTTCCTTAAGCAGTAAACCCCGTATAGCAACTGGTAAAATGTCTTGCAATAATACATGATGATCATGAGACTTCAATCCATGTATCTTTTTCTCAAGTACATTAACACACCTTGAAATATTTGATGAAAAAGCATCCATAACCTTCAAATTAGCTAAGAAATTACATAGCTTGAACTTCTCATCACGGGACAATGCATAGCATGCTACCGGTAACAAAATTTTATCTCCATCCTCAATTGGATGCAACACTTGCCTAATACCAAGGTCCACCAAATCATATCTACTTTTCAATGTGTCTTTTGTCTTTCCAACAATACTCATCACAGTTGATAAAATGTTGTTAGACACATATCTTTCTATGTGCATCATATCTAGGTTATGTCTTAACCTAAGACTCTTCTAGTAAGGCAAATGAAAAAAGATACTTTTCTTCCTCCAGTTATAAGCATTGGCAGAAACATTACGCTTTCTCTTTTGTCCTTTACCAAAACTCACATTGCCCAAATTTTGTAACTGTATAAGTGCTTCATCACCTGTTAAAGGGGCACGTGT